GAGAAATAAAACCCACTTCCCATAATGTTTTTCTTTATTCATGATACAGTAAACAGAAGAGAGAGAGAGAGCACATTATACACTCCACAGAAGGGTAACACACAGTCCCCTTCCTCCAGTCCTTCGGCTCACCAGGATCCTGGACACATGCACACCCAGCACGTTTCAGGCTTGCCCAGGGATTTAAACTACTGTCACTTCCAGCACTGCAGTTCAATGCACTTGTGGCTTCCAGCACGATGCACTTGTGGGTTCAATGCACTTGAGGCTTCCAGCACTGCAGTTCAGTACACTACCTACACTACCTACTATGCCACAGAGGTTGGGCCCACATCTGGTAGTTTTGACATAGACTTAGAAAGAGGTATTAGCATAATAATGAATATGCTTAGTTTAGAAATTACATTGGAATAAAAAAGGCAAAAACTGGGGCCAGCAGATAGCAGGATGGCTAAGGTGCTGGAGCCCCACACAGCCAACTGCAGTTCAAGTCCCAGGCCTAGCAGTTTGAAAATCATACCAGGTGCATGTGCATGCATGCTCAGAATCCAAAGAGAAGAACAAAGTAGAAGGGACTGTAGTGCGTGTGCCTTACGGCAAAAATCTAAAAAAAAATTTTAAAAATTAAAAAGAAAAAAGAAAAACCATGAAGTTGCTCTAATTTGGCCTCACTTGCCAATCCTGGTCCTCCACCAGATAATTCTATAAAATTATTAGAACTATTTTAGGGTCTACTACCAAGAAATCATTGCATTCTCTGCCTTCCTCTCTCCCTTTCCCTAGAAAATAGAGACGCTTTCTGATCCAAGTGTACATCTTGGGTAAATCTTTAAGGTGACAGGAGCCACAAAGAAAGCAATCCTGCTGGTCAGCATGGGCAAGGGTGGAAAGGACAAGGTCTGGGTCAGAAAGAGGTGGATAAATATTTGCACATTACATCTTTCCCAAGGAACAAACTTTTGGGCTAGGGTAAACAGAAGAGATTTAAAAGGCAGCCATTCAGATCAGGGAAACGCTGAGGAAAAGGACGCGTTTGGACCACCTCATTCTTCCTGGCTTGTTTCCTTCTGCACAGGTGAGGAGGACCACCCACAGCCTATAAGGGTGGGCATAAAGCTATGTCCAGGGTAACCGAAGTGCCCAAGCGCTTAGGTACTTCCTATCCCTGACTAATTCTGGTGTCTGTCCTAAGTCTCTTACCTCCCAACCTAAGCACTGCTTCCTTCCAGCAGGACTGTTCTGCCGTCTCACCATGATCCAGGTGGTGCTATTCCTCTGCTGCGTGTTGCTGTCCCCGGGAGCTGCCTTTCCAAGAAATGCCCAGAATGAGGCCCTGAATGTCCAGCCATCTGTCACAGAGACTGGGCCTCTGCCTAACGTGCTCTCCAACCAGATCTCTCTCTCAGGTCCCACGAACTGCCAGGATCTCTTGCACAGGATCCTCTCCTTTGCCCCTCTGCCTGACTACCTGTCCAACTTAGTTCTGATGGTGGCTCTGGAGGAGGCTGACTGCCCAACCGTGCTTGAAGCTCTGCAGCTTCAGCTCACTAAGATGGGAGGAAAGGATACCACTGATATCCTTAGTGGTGAAAATCAAAGGCCCAAAGAGGAGAAGGGGATTGGCAATACCAAGATCACTCTGATGGATCTGGGGAGATCCCTAGGGGAGCTCAGGCGGGTCCAGCGCTCAGCTACCCTTCCTGAGGCATGTTCCTATCAATATGGGTGGGTGCTCCATGACACAGCAAAGCTGATTGCTGAATTTGCTGAGAAGCTACCTTCCTCTGAGTTGACAACAGAGTTCAAGAATGCTGCCATCAATGTCACCCAGCTGTGCACGGAAGACTCTTGGGATCATCTGACTGCAATAGGCCATCAGCTGATAGCAAGCCCCCATATCAGGGACCACGACTTATCTACACAGGATAAGACGTACTTTATCCAGAATATCATAGCCATTCTGTTACGCCTTTTAATACAGGTGTTAAAGAAAGTTTTTGACACTTACTTTGGCTAGGGAAAACCTCTTAGGCATATCTCCTTTCTCAGCTGTTTCTGGTAGGCCTCTACAGAGACTGGGCAGAGGAGATAGCCAGGCATGCCAGCGAGAGACAGAGGCTCTTCACTTAAGACCAGCATGACTGGAATCAGCTCTGCCCCTCTCTTTGTAGGTCCTAGCCTCTCTTTCTTCTCCCAATTTCTGTTTCATTCAGTTGTCAGAGACTGTAGACTTTCAATGTACTAGGCAAGAGGTTATTGCAATGTTTCCCCATTCACCCTTCGTGTACTTTCTAATTCCCCAACTGATGCTGTAGCTTGTTTGTATTACTTTTTCAGCTGGAAAGAGAAATAAAAAGCTATTTCAATAGCACAATCAGTCTTCTCATCACTCTTGACTTTGGGTCCCCATGGCTCCTTTTGTGAGCTGTAGATAGAACGTGGCAGGGACTCTCAGGAAATGCCAGTGCCTTTTATGCAGTCAGTATGAAGAGACAAATATATGTAGAGACTGTGTCCCTAACTGGTCATTGGGGACAGCAGCATCTCTCATCCTCCAGAAGTGGGACTACTTCTCACTGACAGCCCTGTATGGCAGTTTGAGGTCCCATAGCTGTGTGGAATTAAAGCACAGGAAGTCCCCAGTGACCTGGAATGAGATCAAGAAGAGCAATTGATTTCCATTCCCATTCCCATTCCGGGACCCAACTTACACAGAAGCTGAGGGTTGAGGGATCGGTTGTCCTCAAATTGAGCTCTGGGCTCCTTTTGGACCATAGTCCAAGGGAAACAGATTGAGTGTCGGCTTCTATTCTAGCATAGCCTGCCCCAGTTAGGCATCACTGAAGACCCATCATGACACGCTTCTCGACTGCCTCCTGCTGTACCCTGTGGTTGCTATTTCATATGGAACCAAACAAAGCCGTTGGTGCCTGTTCCCTCACCTCTGGGGATCCAGCCACCCTCTGAAGGCTCTTGCTCATGCCAGAGCCTGCTCCCAAATACCTTTCCTGGCCTCCTTCATTTGGTCCCTCTACCAAGGATTCTGACAGGCCAGGCACTGAGGATTCACTTGGAGTTGGCTGATCACCGCCCTATTGCTTCATCTCCAGGCTAGAGAATGTGAAAGCCACCAGTTACAAGGTGCCACAGACAGCAGGGGAGGAAGGGGCTTCCATGGGGATGCTCTGGTCACTCCAGTCTACAATTAGGCAGGGTTTAGCCTGATCCAGAAGAGAAGGTGTACCTTCTCCACTACAGACTGAGGACATGGGCAGGAACAGCATGCATACAATGTAGCCAAGCTGTTGCAGGAAGGAATGACTACAAATTCAGGTACAATATAGTGTACCTTCTGCACTGCAGACTGAGGACATGAGCGGAACAGCATGTATACAATGTAGCCAAGCTGTTGCAGGGAAGGAATGACTACAAATTCAGGTACAATATACAAAACCCAGAACTATTTGGTTGATTCCCAAAACAATGGAACCACAGACCTTAGCTGTGACCTTCCCATGATCATGCTGAGACGGTCAGGGGGTCTCATGGACTATTGGTGAACTTGTGCTTAAACCTGTAAGGAAGGTTGGGTTCTGCAGCAACATGGCAAATAGCCCTCGGCAGATACAAAGTAAAAAACTCAAGTTTCTTCTATACTCTCACTCAACAACCAGCACAGAAGACTGCTGTGATCAAATGTGTGTGTTGAGTTTTTACCCACATAACAAGCAAGCAGTCAGTTCTGCAGTGGGCACCGGCTGGGTATCCTCTAATTTAATTGCATGCTGATACTATCTTATCTGGAGACAGCATCAGACCCCACAGGTTGAGGGCTCAGGCCTCAAGACAAACCCCAGGTTGTCTTACCTGCTCTTCTGGCCCATGGGCTATTGAATTACCAGCTGTAAATCAGGATTTCTATGACCCATCTCCCTCCTTGGGTTCCATTAAGGAACCTGCTTGTTAGAGCAGCTCACAGCACTCAGGGAAGCATTCACTTACGTTTACTAGCACGTTATAAAGGAAACAAATAAAAACAGATACATAAGTAAGATGCACATGGCAAGCATGGGAAGGAGCATGGGACTTTTATGCCCCCTGTCCGGGTGTGCCACCCTTAGAGAATCTTCACTGTCCTTCTGAGTTATTATGAAATCTTCATTATGTAAGGTCTTCAAAGAGTTCAAAGAAAGTGTATATTATGAAAAAACTATGCATGGATTTCAAATTTTGGATTACACCAAAATAAACTGGTACTTTAATCCCATATTCCTGAGAACATCATACAATGTAGCCAAGCTGTTGCAGGAAGGAATGACTACAAATTCAGGTACAATATACAAAACCCAGAACTATTTGGTTGATTCCCAAAACAATGGAACCACAGACCTTAGCTGTGACCTTCCCATGATCATGCTGAGACGGTCAGGGGGTCTCATGGACTATTGGTGAACTTGTGCTTAAACCTGTAAGGAAGGTTGGGTTCTGCAGCAACATGGCAAATAGCCCTCGGCAGATACAAAGTAAAAAACTCAAGTTTCTTCTATACTCTCACTCAACAACCAGCACAGAAGACTGCTGTGATCAAATGTGTGTGTTGAGTTTTTACCCACATAACAAGCAAGCAGTCAGTTCTGCAGTGGGCACCGGCTGGGTATCCTCTAATTTAATTGCATGCTGATACTATCTTATCTGGAGACAGCATCAGACCCCACAGGTTGAGGGCTCAGGCCTCAAGACAAACCCCAGGTTGTCTTACCTGCTCTTCTGGCCCATGGGCTATTGAATTACCAGCTGTAAATCAGGATTTCTATGACCCATCTCCCTCCTTGGGTTCCATTAAGGAACCTGCTTGTTAGAGCAGCTCACAGCACTCAGGGAAGCATTCACTTACGTTTACTAGCACGTTATAAAGGAAATAAATAAAAACAGATACATAAGTAAGATGCACATGGCAAGCATGGGAAGGAGCATGGGACTTTTATGCCCCCTGTCCGGTTGTGCCACCCTTAGAGAATCTTCACTGTCCTTCTGAGTTATTATGAAATCTTCATTATGTAAGGTCTTCAAAGAGTTCAAAGAAAGTGTATATTATGAAAAAACTATGCATGGATTTCAAATTTTGGATTACACCAAAATAAACTGGTACTTTAATCCCATATTCCTGAGAACATCTTAAAGTCCCTTGTACATAGACATGATTGATTACATCACTGGCATGGTGATCAGCCCAACCTGCAGTCCCTCTCCTTGCCCTGAAAGTTGGGGGATGGAGCTGAATGTCTCAACATTGAATTCTGCCTCGGTCTTTCCCTTGATCAGCCTCCAAGCAGCAGGGACTTAGGGCTGCCAACCTTCTGTCAATTATTAGCATACCAAAAGACACTTATCTCTGAAGATACCAAGGACTCTTCTATGAATCCTTCATATCCTTGTATGTATACATGTACATATATTGTTTTTGCTATAAGGCACATGTGCACACTGGAGGGAGGGGGGAGAGGGCTCACCCCCAGGAGGATGATCACACCATAATCCCGTCTTCTCCATTCTCCTCTTGGGATTTGGGCATGCAGGCCCTCACTAGGTGTGTTTTTCAAGCTGCTACATACCAGACCTCAGTTGAGCAGTCTGTCATGTAGGATCAAGCCTCCTTAATCTCCATGCCACCCACTTGCCTATGACTTTTTTTAAATTTATTATTTTTATTTTAGTTTTTGCTATAGGGCATGTGCACTTCCCAGAAAGAGAAGGAAACTAAGGAATCACCCACCAAAGGGAGTTGGTCATGCAACAATCCCTTCTCCTCCATTCTCTCAGGAATTTGAACATGCACACACACACACACACACCCAACATGTTTTTCAAGTCACTGGGTCCTGGACTCAAATCATGCAGTCTGCCATGTGGATCCAGGTACCTCAACCTCTTCACCACCTGTTGGTCCCCAAGGACTTTACTAGTATGCCAAGAAGTGGGGATGAAGACTAAATAAATATTTCACACTATCACTACTCCTCTGCCAGACCTCTGTCAGGAGACAGACTGGGGTACCACAGATGTAAGTTTTCAGGGAATAACAAACAACGGTCATGACCCTGGAAGACAAGGCTTCAGAAGAGGTAAACTCAGTTTCCTCCTGTGGCCTTATTCAAAGATTATGACTTAGATACAGCTCCTGGGAGTCTTGTGGTATTTTTTGTTTGTTTCTTTGGTGTGTGTTTGTGTGTGTTTTAAGAGTTAGGCACAAGAGTGTGTACTTAATACTTATCAATGAGAGAGCAGAGACAGATACACAGGCAAGGTTTTGCCATGCCATGATCTTCCACCCAACCTACCCCCAGCCAGGATATGGGTACAGAGTCCTGGGGTGTTCAGATCAACGCTAGATGTGAGTCTTCCCTGTGGTTCCAGTACCCTGCAGAGGCACACCTGTGCTACTGTGACTAGGCCAGAGTATGTACTGATTCTTGAAAAGCTGTCTGTGTGGACAGGGCAAGAGTGACTCCATATTTTGGAACTTATTTTGAAGCGTAACTTGTCTGTAAGAATGACTTCACCCTCACTCTCTCGTGACCACTTCAGTTTACACAACATGCAAATGGATCATACAAAGCACCTTAAATGAGCAACAGATCTTGTTCTTCTCAGGGTATAAGAAGGCAAGGCACAGACCAAGACCCACCTAAACTGTCAGTACTTTCCATTCACTTGCAGAATGCCTCCCATACTGAAACCCTTCCATGCGGCATCATTCTGAGAAGGAAGTCATCTTCTTGAGACTGCCTTACAGGGAAGGGACAGTGTAAGGACTGGACTTGTCAGAGGACTCTGAATTCTCCTTGGTACTGGGAACTTGGTTTGTTAACCTTTTTCTTCTCTCTCTTCTCCAGTAAACTATATTGTGTGGGGGATGCTTCATTTAATTATTAGGTTGTCAGAAAAGTCATAATGTATTTTCTCTATGAAAAAATGTGCATGACTTTTCTGATCACTCAATCTATACGCTCATATAAAGTATATAGTCTCCTATAAGTACAATTATACAAGATTTATCTTTTTGTGACTGGCTTATTTCATTTAGCATATTGTTCTAAAGTTCATCCATGTTGTAGCATGTGCCAGAATTTCCTTCCTTTTCAAGGCTAAATAATATTCGTGTGTGTGTGTGTGTGTGTATTTAACACATTTTGTTCATTAAACATGAATATGTGTAAGTGTCTTTTTGAAATCTTGCTTTTAGTTGTTTGGGATATATACTCAAAAACTGCTAACTCATATGGTAATTCCATTTTTAAGTTTTAAGAAATTGCCATGCTGTTTTCCACAGCACCTGAACCATTTTACATTCTGCTAACTTCCAATTTCTCCCCA